AACTTGTAACAGCTCCCTTTGCGCTTGAGTTTTTTTTTTGACATATTGTTGTCTTTTTACTGACATTACCTGTCAGATTAGGTTTTTCTTATATGATTTTTTATGCTGAGTTGAAATCTCTGCAACTCAGGAGATTTNGGTTTTTGGTTCCTTCCCACTGTTGCAGACTGCTGAAGCTTATAGGGAATCCAAATGTTTTGGATTGTTGGGTGTTTCTGTCTCTGCCTTTGTGAAGCGCTATGAGATGACTTGTTGTTGTAAATATGCGCTATACAAATAAAATTGAATTGAAATTGAATTGAATTAAAGGAAAACCCTACGGCTGGATTTTAAAAAGAGGCACAACTATAATAGCAAGACAGTAAAAGAGACACTGAGTGAAATCAGTCAACTGAACAATACAAAACAGTGGGGCAATAAAAAGAAACTATGCGTGGATATAGCAGGGGCAGCAATGGAAAAAAGATGAGTCTTCAATTGTCAATAGGTGGATGGGGTTTAATGTGGAACAGGGACAGCTTGTCAGTGTGCTGTCACTGAAATAGTCCTGTTGCCTTTGGTTTTGAGGTGGAAATTGGACCACAGGGAGTAATTGTGAAAGGGTTAGGGATAGAAAACAGAGGGGACAAATCCGGAACATGTTGTGGTGCTAAACCATGAAGGGCTTTATCAAAGAACAGTAACATTTTAAATTCACTGTTCTTCTGCGCTTCACCGGTAGCCAGTACAAATGAACCAGAAAGATGTGCTATGTTTTCTTTGTACCAGTTAAGAGCCCAGCAGCTGCATTCTGAACTAACCGTGGTCAGGTAAAGTTGGACTGTGTCAACCTCATGTACACAAACACTCCTGTTTCCAGGTCATTGTAAGATAAAACTCTTTAGTTTGGTCATGCTTATGAGCTGATGAAAGCTGCCCCTCATAGTGCTGCTCACATGTTTATTAAAACTGAAGGAGTTCAGCAATACCCCAAAGTTTCTGACGACATTGTGCCCATTTATCACTGAGCACATTGCTAAGGCTGTAAACAGAAAGGGGTGTCATGGTCTTGGGTTTTGTTCAGTTTGTTTACAGTTGTATTTTGTAAAGATCTCTGTCCTACACTGTAAAAAAAAGGATTAGTTGACTTAACTTAACTAAGTCAAGTCATCGTGTTGCTTTGACTGAGTTAATTTGAATCAACTTATAGTCTCAAGTTTATTTCACTTCAAAACACGAGTTGATGTAACAGTCAGTCTGTTGACACAACTTCCTGAATCAAGTGAGTTGAACTTGAAAATATTATTTGAGGTAACTTTAAGAGATCTTGGTTGAATTTATTTTTATCAATTTCCTACAACTGTGAATAAAATTGGCTCAACATGAAATACATAACTGATACAACTCGCGATTTGTTGACTCAACTTCCTGTATCAAGTAATGTGGACTGGAAAACATTACTTAAGAGAACTAAAAAAAGAGGCTGGTTGAACTTATTTTATCAAGTTAGACCAACATTTTTTTTTTCTCATGCTCTGTTGCCAAGTTACTTGAGTTTACAGAAACTGCTAGATTTCAAAAATTTAAGCAAACTAATATCTGCAAAGAATCTACATGAGAATTAACCAGTCAACTTAAATATAAACACATGAAATATAGCTGAAAAGACAATTCAGTTAGGACCTTTATTAAAACCCCAACAAGTCCAACTTCAAAATAAGTTTCAACGGATGTCGAGACGTCAATAAAGACCTTCCTTGGGACTGTCAGGGAATGGGGTTTCTGGGCTGTGTTTTTGTTTCTCTTGCAGTTTTTCCACCAGAGGGTGTCCTGGGGAACTCTTGCTGTGCTGGGGCTCATTCCCTGCAGGTGTGTTTTCTACACACCTGCAATGCATCTTGTCACTCCATGGATAAGAGGAGCCGTTGCCAGTCACTCATTGTCTGAGTGTTAACCAGTGTGGTAAACGTTAAGCCTCCTCCCAAGTTTTTTCTCATGCTTTTTCCTGAGCCTTTGAGTGATTGTCTCTCTCCTTCTCCAAGGTTTTTCCCTGTGTACCCGCTCTACGTTGATGCTTCCCACAACCAATCTGCGCCAGACCCGAGTCTTCTCCGTCACTCCCTGGATCATCTACCAACAACTGGTAATGCTTCTGCTTCACCCACTCCACTGCACTGACCACCGTGCCTGCCCGCCCCAGCCGCCCACAAGACACACATTGACGTCCCAGCCTGGTTCAACCTCGTCCTTGCACCTTTTCATCCTCTGTAATACATCTCAAGTTTCTAATTCAGTTTCTCCTGAGTGTCATTCTGCATGTGGGTCAGAAACATCAACAAAGCCATGACAGAGACATATTTAAAAAATAGCCTTTACACACTTTTGCTTGGGCTGCTCACAAACTGAAATTACCCTTTCCCACACATAAATAATAATACAATACATAAAAAGAAGAACACCCTTCCTTTGGGGAAAAAACATAACACTCAACACTTCAACACAGTCCATTCTGAGTGAATGTTCAGAGTTGCTGTAGTAAATAGCAGAAAGAGATTCATAAAAACTAACCAAAAAAAAAATAGTATCTCTGAGAAACTTGCTCAAATGTCAGCTAAATGAACACGTTTGAACATTACTGAAATCTCCACTCTGTTCATGTTTGCTCTACAACATAAAATACAAATTAGCATCTGCAAGAGACATTTCCTTCACAGAGAGCAATAGAGATCTGTTGGAACATGAAAACATAAAGAAAATCTGTTGTGACCCACAGAAGGGCTTTACATTTCTTTTTCTCTTACTACAGAGTGCAATTGACAAATGGCAAAAAAAAATGAGAATACTTCCTAAGGGCCAAATGCAGAAACATCCTGCTGAGCCATCCCTCTACTGAGCAGTTTATTCTTTAGCGAATGGACCCTGGGAGTGCACATCTCGGACCCAATTCCCATGAACAGGCACTGAAAAACCTCAAAAGAATATTTCAAGTCTTTCGGCTAGTCAAGGTTCAGCATGTACAGCAGGCCCATCAGGTTCACAAAAGCGTTGGGTACATCACCCAGATGACGCATGACAATCTTTTCCTCGATGACACTGGCAACATCGTTAAAGGAAACTGAAAGGGGCTCCTTCACACCTTCAATGTCCAAAAGGATTCCGATCACCATTCCCTTGATGAAGTCCTCCTCAGGATCTGTTAGCTTCATGCAAAAACAAAAAACAAAAAGATGCCTGTGCTTTAGACATGTTTTGCTCTTGAGTGTATCCACACAGCAGATGCCTGAAATGACATGTGTAACCCTGTCCATTGTGAACTACTTTTTGTATCATTGAACAACATCTTGCTGCTTACCTCACACCTCTTCATCATTGTAGAAGGATTTTCTTTCATGTACCATGGCAGTCCCTGCAAAGCTGCTGGCCTCTTCCTTTGGTTTGACGCCTGCAAAAACATGATACATGAATTCATTTGATAGCACAACTCTGATTTTTGTCAACCCTCAAATGACAGAAACTGAGCTTTTAGTTCAAGAGAGGTAACTTCAGCTCTGACCCTCTCACTGGCAGAGTTTCTCTCCATCTCCTCCATCTTACAGAACCAGCTATGTTGTTTCATTTTCTTGTTCATTCAGTCTGTATCAAAGTGCCTATCCAAGCACATTAATTAGAGGAGCTTTACTGTCTGTCATAATCTACATCCTGGTCCCTCTCCTCAGTGGGGTTGCACAATTAATGTGAACCACAACTATAACAAATATGCACTTACATCATGGTCGAGACTCTCCATTAAGGATAGAATAGAATAGAATAGAAAAATACTTTATTTATCCCAGTCTGGGAAATTACTGTGGTACAGCAGCAAGAGAAAAACACCAATCCCAACAGAAGAAGAGCCAAAGTTAAATATTATTTAAAAAATTAAAAATAAGTGAATAAAATAAAATAAATAAAACAACTGCACAAAATGTGCAAATTGAAAAAACAGTGCAAAGACAGAGGGTTTTACAGAGCAGAGGGCTGAGAACGCTCTGTGTTGTTCAGGGTTACTGCTCTGGGTTCCGGTACCGGTCCTTGTACAGCGGAGCTGAATCAGTCTGTTTGAGAAGGAGCTCCGCTGCCTGTCCAGAAGGGGGTGGAGAGGGTGGTCGGGCTGATCCAGAACAGATACCAGCTTGTTCAGAGACCTCCTCTCCACCACCGCTTCCATGGTGTCCGGTTTGCAGCCGGTACCGGAGCCAGCCTTCCTGATCAGTTTGTTCAGTCTGTTGGTGTCGCCGGCTCCGATGCTGCCTCCCCAGCAGACTACAGCAGAGAACACTGGCAACAACAGACTGATAAAACATGTTCAACATCTTGCTGCACACACCGAAGGATCTCAGCTTCCTCAGGAAGTAGAGTCTGCTCATCCCCTTCTTGTATTCAGCCTCGGTGTTGATCCTCCAGTTCAGTCTTCTGCTGTCAGTGTGGACGCCCAGGTCCCTGTACAGTCCCTGACAAAAGTCTTGTCGCTTGGGTACAAGTTGACCTTAAGTGCCCCTCAAATATATGTCTAATCAATTTTTTTTTTCAACAAATGGCTAATTTCAATCCTAACAGCTTTTGAAATAATATTTTGGTGCAAAAAAAACCGGCTGAAAAGCATTCTAACGTTCACAGCTTGGTAAAGCCCACTGAGTCAGTTTTTGCAAAGACAAAAGTCTTGTCGCCTTGTCATATGATGCACCCAATCCTAGATTACAGCCTCACCTGTGATCAATAATTGATCAGTCAGTTAGTNCAACAGAGTGTGTTTAGTGGGAGGCTGCGTCAGTTTTGCTGTAGAGCGGAGAGATACAGAAATTCATTCCTGCCAACAGCCATCACTTTAAAAAACAAATCTGACTGACTGAATGATTATTATTATTGTTGTATAAAATATATGTTATATTGATTTAAAACAAAAAAAACAAAAAAAGAAAGGTGAGCTTTTACAGGATTGAATTTCCCTTCTGGGATGAATAAAGTATTTTTCATTCATTCATGTATGCACTAGGTGGCAGTATAGCCTGTCCTGTGTTACGCTATGAGTTGGTACATGAACACGCATGCACAATGTTTGAACGGACCAAGATGTTCCAGCTACAAAAACGGCTTGCAGCTCACAGAAGCTAGCAGCACAGATGTTAATGCGTGATGAATAACAGAAGGCAGAAAATTGCAAGGAATAAAAGAGACAATTTATTTTTTTGTTTCGTGCCAGTCTTATGTTCTACACTCCAATCCAGTTGGTGGCGTTACTGCGCCTTCCAAACTGACTTGCCAACGGCCATTAAAGCCGAAGAAGAAGCCGAAGAAGAAGACGAAGAAGCGGCAGCAGCACCACCACCACCACCAAACCACAAGTAGAAGAAGCAGCAGCAGCAGCGGGAGGACTGCTGGAGGTCCAGGCAGCGACATGTCTGCTCTCAGGCCACCCGGAAGTCAGCGGCCTGCTGCTCACCGAGCTCAACCTGAAGAGCCGGCGGAGGGCCAGAGGAGCCGGCGGCCTACTCAGCCTCCACAGCGGGTAATAGCACCGAGCACCACTGTAGCCCCGATTCACACCCTGCCAGGGCCGAGCCGGGCTGGGCCGAGCCGAGCCGGGTGTCTCAGCTAAAGTCAGACAGCGCTTAAACGAGCCTACCAGGTTAGTAGTGTGAGTTTACTGCGACCCCCGTTTGTTGTGTTTCACATGTAGCCGCTCCTCAGCGCGCCGCACCAGCCCCGCTACATGTGACGGTCCAGTCGGTTTCTGAACCGGTAGCTCCTGTGGAGGAGCAGGACTGGAGGTAAACAAGTTGGCCGTCACAGAGCAGCCGGGGCTGGACCGGGCTCTGCTGGACACCGGTCCGGCCTCTTCCTGCTTCCCCCGTCGCTGCCTGCTCGTCTCGTTTCCTCCGCTACGGAACTAACGGCGGTAACGGCAACAGGCCAGCACCCAGCACCCAGCACCCAGCCTGCTGTTCACCGCTCAGTCCCTGGTTCCGTTGAACACTGAGGCTAGATTCTGTGCTGAGCCCAGCAGCAGGATGGTCGGTGTGAGCATTCAGCAACAACAGTGGTTGTTCTGGCTCCAGCTGCTCCCAGCAGGAAGACAAGCGGAGTCAGTGTGACGTGTGAGGAGCCTGTGATCGTAGAAGCGGCCATTGATAACCAAACAGGAGAGATGACGTGTGTCACGTGACGCTATGACGCTGTCCTGGTCACTGTGCGATCATTTCTTGATACCAATAGTTTGTCTTCTGCAGTTTCATCTGCTGTTCTTCTCTGTTGTTATTTTTTTCTGTTTTGTAACTTAAATTGACCACTAAGGTCTATATCTTAAAGTATTATTAGTTATTGGTTTCCAGACTCTGTTTCAGGTCAATCTGTGGCTCCTGCTATCTTACCTGCTAGCTGTTAGCATAGGCGTAGCCACTGTAACAGCAGCTAACGTCCTGACTTGTGGAGATGGCCGTGCTTCTGTTCAGTTTTTGCATGTCTGTCAGTTAGAGCAGACTGTTGAACCTAATATGACTTTTGAATGATGTTACAGTGCTCTAGATAGCATTAGCTGCACCACTTGTTCACACCTGCAAGTGAAGTATTGGGGCCTTTTTGTGTAACAGGAGCAGTATGAATGCTTGTGTAGCATGTTTGTTCATTCCAACCTGAGCAGCTACCAGGCTTGTATAGTGCTTGTCTACCTTAGTGGTACTCAAAGCACTTTCCAATGTGTTCTCATTCGCCCAGCTCCGTTCATTCGTCAGAGCTTCTCTGCTCCGCTGATGTGGTTTCTGTCAATGGAAAAAGATAATAATAATAATAATAATAATTTCGCAGAATATGCAAGATCCATAGTGGATTCAGGGTAGAGGATGATGAGTTGCATGCAAGACCCTGTGTCTGTGCGAAGCAGAACTAACATCAACTTAGTGTTGTGTGCCGTAGTGTTTTCTGACAAACACATTTGCTACATGTACTAACACTGGGGGGGGGATTAATGAGAAGATCCACGCTCTTCGGTCCACTTAGCTGCAAGTTGCACAGACTGCAACACAGTGAGTTTGAGCAAGAGCAACTGCGTTGTGAAAGTTATGGACAATCTTTGAATGGAGTTTCCAGTCTGCACCATGTGCATCACACAGTCGTCGTCAGTCTTGCTGAAGTAAACGAGCTGCGGTCTGATTTCCTCCATATCAGCCTGTGTCCTTACATTTCCATAAACCATCTCATAAGTGTCATATGAATTCCAATCCTAAATGTTGGTATGTCCTGTTCTGCAAGTACTCATTATTTGAAGCTCACAAGGTCTTGGTTGTCTGTCTTGTGAACATGCTAAGAGGGTTCAGTTAGGCACACGTTGCTCAGACACTGAGTTTGATTCGTGACGAGGCCCTGTTCCTCCCCACATTTTTCGTTTGTCTTCATATGAACCTTTTGTGCATTTTTCCATGTTATTATTTCTGTCAATATTCGTATTGTATGTTACCACTATATGTAGGTATGATTATATATTTCCTTGTTCATATGAATGTGTCAAGCCCAGTGGACACACTTTACATCCAAATTCCCATAGTTCTTGGTTGCTCTTGAAGTACTGGACCTTTCGAACAATGCTCGTTAATTCTCTATGCAACTGTCAGTGATTTATAAAATAAATAAATAAAAAGTCAAAATGAAATCTTGGGTTTACAGCAAATGTAACCATAGTTACAGCCTACATACAGTTGTGTTCATTTCTACACCTATTCCTCTAAATTGGTCAAGCACAGTGGTGGAAATGTTCTGATTTGAGATTTGACTTGGCTTCACAGACTGGACAGTTTGCAGTCATTGATTTAACTATGAATCCGCCATCATATTGAAGAGTAACTTTTATACAGATGGGCTCACATTTATGTTAAAATTGACCCAAACCAATAGCTCAGAAATAAGAAATGGACTTTAACTGAGTGGGCTAGTCAAGAAAAAAAGCTTAGACTTAAATCCCATTTAAAAGTTGTGAGGGAATTTGAAACTGGCACAATGTGTAAGAGTACCCATAAACATCTTACATATGAACAACTTTTGCCTGCCTGGAAGAATTACAGCAAGCTGATATTCTGCTAAAGATGGCAATTTTCGCTTCTGAAGCCAAAGTTGTACATAATTTTTTCCACAGAAAGTTATTGCATCTGTTCATATTTTCTGTTGGATAATTGATTGAAAAAGCAATTTTCTTGGTGGCGCTTTTCAAGTATATCAATTACTATCCAGCTGAATTTGAGAATATGTAATATACATAATATATATAATACATAATATACATAGAACTTTTGTTTTTGCAGGTTGATGTCAGTCTAACCCAAATTGGACCTCCCAGACATCCCATATGGCTCCATGGGGATGACCCCACCACTAGAGAGCCCCAGCTGGATGACTGTGAGCGGATGGGGACTCTGTTTGGGATGCTCAACAAGGGTCTGCGAGGAATGGGCTTCAGCCAGATGTACTTTGGGGACAAGATAGTTGAGCCAGTAGTGATTGTCTTCTTCTGGTTGCTGCTCTGGTTCTTGGGCATCCAGGCCTTGGGACTGGTGGGAACTCTGTGCATCATTATCATCTACATCCAGAAGTAAAATGCTGATGACCAGTGTGGAGCCTGCTGCTTGGTCAGTGCTTACACGTGTGGGAATCATTTTATGCTAATTACTCTTTCGTTTGGAATCGGCTGCAGATCAGTGTTTGGGGGACAACTAGGGAGACGTCTGAACCTGTGTAGTGACGGTGTTTTATGGAGACTCGGTAGAGAAAACTGGGAAGGGTTTTTTTTTTTTTTTTTTAAACCACAGGATTGTCTGATGTAGAGCTTCGTTAGCCTCCGGAGCAATGTCCTGCCTCTGCTGCTGTGGTCATGTTCTAACGGTGTTGACAAGCTCATTTGAAGCAACAGAAAGGTACAGTGAGAAATGGTTTGTTTCTGGTAGAGTCAGAAGCTACAAAGCGAAGGCCGGGAGACCCAGCACTCAGGAAACAGAACTGCACACACCTCTCTGTGGAGTGATTGACTTGGAAAAATGTGAGCTAATTAATCATAAGAAACTGACAGTAAAGTTGAATTGCAGTATGTGTTCTTGTACAACCTTTGACTGTAAAATGTTTACTTTTATGATGCAAAGTAGGGATGCACAAAATGTTCTGATAAATGGCCACACATGTAAACAAAGTGGTTATTTCATGCCACGTTTGGTGGAACGACAAAACTAACCTTCAACAATGGATGCAGCAACTGTTTTGTCTTCCAGTTAGCCTCTGCTTGTGTTTCAGAGCTATATGGAACGTTAGCAGTGGCACTGCTACAGACAGTGAGCGTACTGATAAAACAGTCATAGGCTCATTCAAGATGAACTGTGCCTTGCCTGGAAAGTAGAGCAGAGCGAGCAGGGGCAGCCGGCGGCAGAGTTCAACAAGACAGGCGGTTTCAACAGCCTTCAGTCTCCACAGGACTTTACAGAAACACAAATGTATTCAAATGTTATCAGATGCATGCATATATGCAGTCCCCAGTAATTTCAGTTACGACAGAGGAGTCTGTAAAAATGCTGCACGGACCATCTGTGATCTCTGTTAATTGTTGTGTTGACCTTTGTCTTTCATGAACTGATGGAATCGGCCTCATCAGTTTGCTGCTCATATCAATCAGCTGAGCTCCACCGTCCTTCTCAAATTAGACTCCATAAATACATTGAAAATAATATTTAATTGTCAGTACAGTAAAAAGAAATGCAAGATAACATTTCATTATTGATCTGTCAGATAATCAAACTGTCAGGGCTTTACATATGTATACGCTACTTTCAGATTTTTTTCAAGAGCCCTCTTTAGATCACCAAAGCCTGTCGGATTCCTCATCTGGGGAAGATGAAATTAAAGAAAAACTTGACATTTTACAGATATGCCAGAATGCACAGAATGTTTGTCATGATTATTCTCCCAAAACTGACAAGTCGTTGCACATAAATATATTTCTTAGGATAAGTGGCAGATAAGGCAGGATGAAGGGAAACAAGACAAAAAAAAAATTGGAACTAGAGAATATCTGGTTTTCAATTATCAAAAGGTAGATTTTTGCTTGCGTTGTCCTTTTTTCCGGTTATTGTTCTAGTCTCAGGTAGTTTTTACAGTTAAACTTATTTGTTCCTCTTTTATTGTACATATTGCTGTTCGGTTTTTTAAAAATCTACACACATGAACTGAATGTAGTCATCACACTGATTTGAACGTTTACAGAAGTTTTCCAGGGGCCACATCACCACTGATGGTGATGTATATAACTCCAGATTTACAGTAGCTGTGCTACATTTGATCTTGTTTTAAGAGACATTATTCAGTTATTTTAAACATAAGTTGTTTAGAGGGCATTTGCACTCAATTTAATTAACATTGACAATCCAATCTACATTTGTTGCAATGTGTATGATTTTAAAAAACAAAACCAGTGCTCTAAAAATATTCTTTGTCTCTGAGTTCTACAGCACTGTCTGCAGAAAGTATAGACAATCATATTTTGTATTTTATTTGTGGGAAAGTCATGTAAGATTAATATTGTTAGTCTTCCTGTTCTTGTAGCATTGCTGTGATTTGAAGACCCGACCAGTGATTGTAATGTTGTTTTGCATCTAAGAATTATCACAAGCCTCTCATCACTTTAAACCATTTTCCAATTCAGTATGGGATGTTTTGGATTTGTCAGGGTGGATAAACCATGAAACCTATTACATTTGTGTAATTCATCTCAATGAACATTACAGCTGATTTTTCAAACATGGTTTAAGTTTACCATCTTAGTTTGGTGTGCTATCGTGCACGTCAGTATGATTACATTTCCAAGTAGCTGCTCATAAAACAAAATGCTGGAGAAATAGCACATCTGGCCTGATGATGGCACGAGAGGAAAGGTCAGTGGATCGTCCAGGTTTTTACAGTTCATCCTATGTGTCATGGTAACCCACCCAGCAGAACAAATGTGAACCTTATGGTGGCATGAAACTAGCACTCAGGTCACTACAGTCAGTAGGATTCCTAGTCTGTGGAACATGGATTTCTGTAAATCCATCCATTTAATAGCCATTGAGCGAAAAACATGCAAAATAAATCCGAAAACAAACAACACAACGAGCTCATACAAAATCATGTACAACAGTGACAGCACAACATGAAATCTATCATTCATTTAGCCCTGATTACCCAAGCCCAATTAGTTACCAGAATACTACCACCATCTTTAGCCACCAAGATATCAAAGGCTGGTGAAATGCTCAAAGGAGAGGCAAGAAGTCAAAATGGGGTTTGAATATTCCGTGTCAGAGGAACACAGGTGAACAGTAAGTAAGCAGCAGGCCAGTCACAAAAAAAACAAAATAAAACGCCAGGATCTGGCCAGAGGGTGCATCCTCAGCACTCCAAGACTGTTTTATGGACACTGACTGGGAGGTTTTCAAAACAGCAGGGTGATCAGACTGATGTTGGGAAGTATGCTGGGGCGGTAACCAGCTACATGGCAAAGTGTACAGAAGATGTCACTGTCATAAAGACTTTCACAGCACGTGGAAACCAAAAACCCTGGATGACTGCAGAGGTGTGTTTGCTGCTGACCGCCCGTGACGTAGCCTTGAGAGTGGGAGACAGGACTGCTCTTCACTTATGGGGCCATTATTGTAGCAAAACTATTTGTCCATGTGTATAGAGAGTTGTCTGTCTGTCTCTCAATCTGTTCGTCCAAAGTGACATTTGTCAATGTGTAAAAGAAGTTGTCAATGCGTCTGTATTTTCAGCATTTGTACTTCAATACGCAGATTTTTCAACTTGTAATACCTTTGTACACATTGACAAGTCTTTGAACGTATTGAGAACTCTTACGATATGTACACATTTTAAGACAGATGAGCAGATTTTTTACACATTTGAATACCTAATTACAGACAGACAAATTCCGGTTCTCATTGACAACTTCTTTTACACATTGACCCCATATTCACTCAGCCAGATCTGAGCTCTCAAAAGGGATCAAGGCTGCAAAACGCACCTACACAGAGAGAAGCCAGGAACACCTCTGTGACACAGGAACCACCAGATGGATGTGGCAGGGAGTCCAGGCACTAATGGACTACAAGACCAAGCAAAGGGTCGACGACGATAACACTTCTCTTCCAGGCTCAACAACTTCTTTGCACGCTTTGAAGTATCGAACCTGGCAATCAGAGAGAGGGCTGGTCCTTCTCCTTCATCTGTCAGGCTAGCTTTCACCATTAATGCAGCAGACACTCAGAGGACCCTTGCCAGGGTCAACCCACGAAAAGCAGCAGGACTGGACAACATCCCGGGATGTGTGCTTAGAGTCTGTGCTGACGAGCTGACAGATGTGCTGACTGACATTTTCAACATCTCTGTCAGTCAGGCCATTGTCCCCAGATGCTTCAAAACATCCACCATAGTTCCAGTGGCAAATAAATCAGTTGTAGCCTGTCTTAATGACTATCGTCCCATCACACTGACACAGATTGTAATGAAGTGTTTTGAACGGCTCGTCAAACCACACATCACAGCCAGCCTTCCTGCATCACTCCCAACCACTCCACAGAGGATGCAATATCCACCACCTTGCACTCAGTCATCACCCACCTGGAAAATACAGACACCTACGCTAGAGTCCTGTACATTGATTTTAGCTCTATCATCCCCCAGAGATTAAGAGAGAAACTCCTCCTACTCTGCCTGGATACCGCCACATGTCTCTGGGTCTTGGACTTTCTGACTGAAAGACCCCAGTCTGTCTGAGTCTGAAGAACATCTCCAACTCTATCACGCTGAGCACTGGATCTCCTCAAGGCTGTGTCTACTCAGTCCACTGTTGTTCACACTGCTAGCACTGCAGCCACACCTGAGGGAATCCAAATGATCAAGTTTGCTGATGATACCACAGTGGTGGGACTTGTTCGCGGGAACAAAGAATCAATGTACAGAGATGAAGTGAAACACCTAGACGGCTGGTGCAGTAAGTACAACCTGCTGCATGGTCAAAACAAAGGAGATGATCATTGACTTCCGAAGGTCACGTCCTGAGCATGCCCCCCTCAGCATCAGCAGCTGCACAGTGGAGAACATCAGGTTCCTAGGAGTGCAGATCTTGTAGGACCTGAGCTGGAATAAGAACACCGAAGTGATCACCAAACGGTCCCAGCAGAGACAGCATGTCCTGAGGGAGCTGAAACAAGCCTCTCTCCCTGCCAACATCCTCAGGACTTTTTACAGAGGTGTGGTGTCCCAGAACTTTTCCAGAGCTGCTGCAGGAGCAGGGCACTGAACATTGTCAGGGACTCCTCACACCCTCTCCATAAACTGTTTGAACTGCTACCATCAGGCAAACGTTTCTGGAACATTAAAGGAAGAACCTCCAGACTGATTAACAGCTTCATGCTACAAACTGTCAGAATGCTAAACTGCTGATCCAGATATGCAAACACTTCTTTATTTCAATTGCTTTGAGTCATTGGATCCTGAAGAAACACTCTTTCATCTTGCCTGTAAATAAACTTGATTTGATAAAAGTGTTTGCACACTTGAGCACTAAAGCTAAAACTACAGAGGCATGTTTGAATAGACACACACACACTGTTGGAACAGTCACATAACTAATAAATATTTAAGGTCACGCCTCATCCTTACTCTCGCTCCGACTGGTCGAGGCAGATGACCACCTTCCCTGAGCCTAGTGCTTTCTGAGGGGTTTTTTTCCCTCCCTGTTAAAGGGTTTGGTTTGTTTTTTGAGTTCCTTCCCACCATCGCCAACTGCTTGTTCAAAGTCCAAAGGCATCTTTGGATTGTTGAGTTTTCTGTTCTTTGTTAAAAATTTGGTCTTTACCTCACGATGTGAAGTGCTATGATATGAAAAGGTGTGAATTGGTGCTACATAAAGAAAATTATAGCGGGGTCACTTAACAGATTCAGTTATAAGTTCTTGAAAGAATCTGTTAGACACACGTGATATATATGTTTATGTGTGTTTATATACAGTGCTTAACAAATGTATTAGACTACCTGTCATAAAAATGTGAAAACGTAAATATTGTAGAAATCTTTCAAAAACTTGTGCAAAGCTAAAAATATTATTTGGCAATTAACATTCTGAAGCAACTTAATAATCCTTTTTCACACGGACAAGGTGTCAGAAAAGTTCCAGGACTGGTGTTACAAAAGATATATTACAAACCCAAACTACAAACTATGAGTTTTCCCCTTCACATGATCAACTACAAAGAGATCCCACGGCGTTTGCTTTGTTCAGTGCATGAGAAGAGGCGAGCGTTGTGGCAGGACGAGTCGTGGCTGCTTGACCATGACAACCTGCTCACAGCGCCCTGAGCATCTGACAGTTCCTGGCTGAGAAGAACATCTCCGTGCTGGAGCAACCTCCCTACTCACCCCACCTGGCTCCGTGGGATTGTTTCCTCTTCCCCAAGCTCAACAGGGGTCATCAAGGGGACCCGTTTTGAAGACGTGGACGACATCAGATGGCTGTGACGGCGGAGCTGTGGAGGATCCTGGAAGAACTGTTCGAGGAGTGCATGGCGGTGTGAAGAGAAGGCTGGGAACGTGTGTTAGTCTCCAGGGGGATTACTCTGAAGGGGAAAACTTGTAGTTTGGATTTGAAATATAGTCATATTTTTTTCCATGACTGTTCATCTTTTGTGACACCAGTCCTTGAACTTCTCTGACACACCTCATAATAACCAAAAGCCTTCATATTTTGTATGGCCTCCTGTGGCCTTGATAACAGCTGCATTCTTGCTACCATTGTTTTATGTACTTTTAAACAGTCGTTGTTGTTACTGACTTCCACATAGTTTCTAGCTGTCTCCACAGACTTGCTTTAGAATTAACTTTTGTGTGATCAGTCTTTGAACATACCATATCCCAAATTTGTTCAATACGATTCATCCTCCTCTAGCTATCAACAGTCCAGCGTTTGTGCTCCCTGGAAAATCTCAGGCGTTTCTGGATGTTTGCAGGCCACATTATTGGATTCTTAGCAGCTCTTCTTCACTTTAAGCGTTGTTCCATCAGTCGTCTCTTATTGTCTTTCTGGAAGATCAGCAGCGGTCTTCCTTCTGTCTCTAGTACTTCAGATCTTGAGGTGTCTGACATCTGCTTCAATTAACTTTGTCAGTGCCAGTCTCAGCATCTAACTCCAAATCATACTTGACCAAACTGTGAGAACACTTTGTCTTTCCCTGTTTCTCTCAGAGACCATCCAGCATCATGAAGTGCTTTAATGGGGCTCTTTCATTTTCAGTGAACTCTTCACATTTTACCATTTTGAACAGGAATGAGGAATTTCAAACTGAATTTGCCTTTTTATACCCAAGTCTGAGCCACTCAGCTTCTCTGAGAAGTCAGGAATGAGTCAAGCATAACATTCAACCACTGAAACTGATTTTTCTGTTCAGGAATGCAAGTACATAACTCTAATCTGACATCCTAATCAAGAAATAATAATGTGCTGTACTATTTTTTCCTGTTTTTACGTATAACAGTAAATTTGAAAATTCATAGATAACAAGAATTATATTTTAGCATTAAAAACATCATTTTAGTTAAAGAGCTTCTACATACTGGTGTATTAACCATTACAGAAACATAAAAAATGCTTTTGGTAATTACCAGTGCTGTTAATGTAGGGCAGCTGTGGCATAAACCTGACACTGGGTGGTGGTATACACACACACACACACACACACACACACACACATATATACATATGCAAGTGGGTGTGTATATACCAGCAGATTATATGCCACCTCAAATTATCACAGACTGTGGAAACATCACACTGGACTTCAAATACCTTAGATTCTGTGTCTCTCTACTCTTTGTTCAGATTCTAGGACCTTCATTTCCAAATAAAATGCAAAATATACTTTAGTCTGAAAAGAAGGCTTTGGTCCACTGAGAAACACTTGCGTTCTTCGCCTGAGCGCAGGTGAAACGATTCTAATGTTGTCTCTGGATCAGGAGTGGCTTCATAATATGAATTGTACAGTTGTAGGTCCTTTAATGAAGACGTCTGCTCGGTGTCGAATGTCATCTTCTGGAGAACTTTCCAGTCAACAGTCTTCCCCATGGTTGTGACTGCATGTACTGAACTAGACCGAGAGATGTGTGATATTTATACTGTTTGAATAACAATTTACTGAAACTTGAAATGAAATGTTCTAAAATTTTAAGATACTCGATTTCTGATTTTCATGATTTATAAACCATGATCATCAAAATTAGAATAAAACTTTAAACTATTTTATCTCTTGTTCTGTCTTGGATTTTGTTTTTAACTGAATCTTGGTTGCAAACTAAGGATTTTAGCCCAGGTCCTCTGCAGTATCACTGTTTTAACCAGGCCAGGGTGAGTGAGAAGAGCTTCAAATGTCATCGCAGTTGTTGTGAAGAACTCTCCACTTTTGAAGCTCTTATTCTTGGCGGTCCACATTCAGTTTTTTTTTTTGCTATTATTTATCATCCCTCGAAATCTATGGGCAGCTTTTTAGCAGAAGTTCCCAAATTTTTATTCTCCATTGTTTTTGAATTCTTTTAACATCAATCAGCATGAGTGTGGCCCAACACAGCACCATGGCCACACATTGGACCTTGTTGTTACCCTGTGTGTAGAACTAGCATCAATGGAATTAATGGAGATGGCCATATCACACCCCAAATGATTAGTTTTTAATTGTGATTTGCCCATTTCCAACAGCATCACATCGTGCTCCACATGGACTTGCACTTTTGATGGCCAAAGAAAAGCACTGTATTTCATAACCAAGACATACAACCATCTACACACACCTTCTGTTTAGGACAGAAAACATAACATTCAGTAAAATACACAGTAGTGACACTATTTACACGTTCTTCTCACTTAACTTGAGCGTGTGCGTCATATAGTTTTATACGTGAGTGGGATATGTAAGTGGAAATAAGAAATCCCTCCTACAAAGTTGAATCACCAACTACAGCTCCAGTCAGGCTGGAACATACATCCTTTCCAGCAATCCTCTTGACTTAGATTAAGCAAGAGTAGCAGCTATGCATTTTTTTTTTGAGATTGTCAGAAATTTTACTTTCAGAATAATGAATGTTCTGCTGTGTAATGTAATGGTAGAACATGAGCAGCACAAACTGGGACTGACTCTCAGCTGGCTGGACATGGCTGACGTGCACTTCTACTACACTGCTACACACTGATCAGCCACTTTAAAACCACTGTCAGGTAAAGTTAAATATGCTGATCATCTTTTTCCAGTGTTATCTGTCAAGGGGTGGCATATACTAGGCAGTGGGTGCACATGCATTGTTTACCTGGGGAGAAGAATGCAGATAGCAATAGTGGTGTCTGATGCAGCAGCCTCTCTCAACAGGACAGTGCTCCTGTCACACTGCACAAGCTGTTCAGGAAAGGGTTGAGGAACAAAAAGATTTAAAAATTTTGACTTGGCCTCCAAATTCCCCAGATTTCAAACCCATCGAGCATCTGTAGATGTGCTGGAAAAACAAGTGTGACCTATCGAGGCACACCACTTCCAGGACTGGCTGCTAATATCTTGGATCCTGACACCAAAGGACACCTTCTGAGGTGGAGTTCAGACAGCTGGTCACAGCTGTTTTAGTGGCACCTACACAGTATTAGACAAGTGATTTTAATGTTGTGGCTGATCCCCACTATTCAGGATGTCAGATAACTGGCAGTGAAGACAGAGTAAAATTGGAAATTGATTCTCCAAATACAAGATTTGGAAGAAGAAGCAGAACTACACTGATTACTTGTTCATGTTATTTATAAAGTTAAACTATCAAACTTTGTTTGGTTTCAGCTTTATAGCTTTTCTGTTCTCTATCACTGTAGAACACATTGCTGGACTGTTTCTTTAAATAAATGAGGCATCTAAAGATGTCACTTTGGGCACTGATAACTTGCCTTGACACTGGTCATAAGTTTAAGAGAATACAGAAGAATCGATTCCATGAATTTACATTCCTCATGGTTTTATGTTGAGCTCGGCTCAGTGTCCACTGCCGCCCTCAGACAGGATGCGACTGGGCTCGGTGAACTTCGCAGTTGCGATGTAGAACAGGGCAGGACCTGGCACGAGGGCCAACAGCGGTATGTCCTGTTCGAGCTTGTCCAATCTGGAGATGGAGATGATGCCATATGCATGCAGCAGCCAATGGCTAAACAGGACAACAAGACGCTTCTTCTTGGCAGCCAGATTCTTAAAAGACTGGTGGTGGGGGGCAAGCACACAAAGAAAAGAGGACAGAATTACTAATAATAGAACAGTGGTTTCCAAAATTAAATCTAAAATGCTCAATGACTCTGAAAAACTTCTAAAACATTCAACTGTTCGTGGAATCATTGGTAATACATTCCTCCCTGTAGTAATGTTATGACAAATGCTACCAGGGGAGGCACAGTTGTGCAGAAAAAAAATCACTGACACCACTAGTAAAGGCCTGGATTTTTACTTAACCCTTAAATTCATAAAACTGGCCTTAAGCAACCTGGGATTATATTATGCTCTCTCTAAACTGCTATCTGACTCTGTGGTACTTCTCAAATACTGTATTTAATTAATAATGGTGTTGCAACAATGTACATATGGAATATCCATCCATCATCTCTACACCGCTTAATCCTCACTAGGGTCATGGGGGGCGGAGCCTATCCCAGCTGACTCAGGGTGAAGGCAGGTTCACCTGGACAGGTAACCAGTCTATCACAGGGCTACACTTAGAGACAGACAACCAAGCACACTCACATTCACACCTACGGACAATTTAGAATCACCTTTTCCTCTCAGCGTGTTTCTGGACTGTGGGAGGAAGCCGGAGAACCCGGAGAGAACCCACGCTGCACGGGGAGAACATGGAGACTCCACACAGAAACATCCCGGGTGTCCTCACCAGGACAAGAACTGGCGACCTTCCTGCTGGGAGGCAACAGTGCTAACCACCGAGCCACCTTGCAGCCCACATATGGAACAGATCACTTAAAAACTCAACTATGGGAATGACAAAGCTACCTCAGACAATAAGAAACACAAATGGTGCAACGGGTATGATACTGTCCAAAGCAGCAGCCCTAAAATATGTCAGACCTGATGAGGGAATCTCATATAGTTATCCTGGCATCCCAACATCAGAAGCCAAAGGATCAGACAAGAGACGCACTCCCTGGCTAATGCTGGCCTTCAGCTGAGAAAAGGACAAAGGTACTGCAACATCTGAAAGCTGATGGATGCTCTAAAACAGTGGTCTTCAACCTTTTTTGCACCACGGACCGGTCATTACGCACATAACAAATAATAATTGTTTTTTTTTCTATTGAAAAGTTTCATAAATGAATAAAATTGATTTTTATTGCTTAACATGTTTACTTTTTCTCCTGTCTCAGTATCATGTCTCTCCCACTTTCCAAAGCAGCTCTCCTTGAGACGTTTGTTTTTGACTGACGGCTTCGTTTAGCAGCCGGACATAAAAACTGACAGTCAAGTGCAGGAAACGAGCACAAACGGAAGTGACGGGACGATGAGCTAGTTATTTTTCAAAATAAAACACCCTGCAGACTCCGCTGGAAATAAAAATAAACCAATAAAATGTTTTTATTCTATCTGTGCGGCCCGGTACCAAATGACCCACGGCCCGGTACCGGTCCGCGGCCCGGTGGTTGGGGACCACTGCTCTAAAAGCTTTTAGTTTGTCCAGAATCACAACTGCTACAGTTTACAAACCATAAAATAATGCAGCTGTGCGTACATCCACATCGCATGACCACAATCAAGTGATCATGACAAGCAAATCCTGAGGGGGCTGCTACGTAAGAATTGTTGAGGCGAATCATCGGTCAGAAGAACCCTGACTCAACTTGTATCTGGTATTGGAGCCTCTCAGAAAGTAGCTGAGTTTTGTCCAAACCATCTCTAGATACATCGCTAGATACTTCTGTAAAATAAGCCGCAAAACAAGTCTGAAATGAAAAGTCAACGCACTGGCAGCAGTATCACTTTTACAGACCTCCACAAGGACAGGTGCTGGAGGAGGTGTGCAGCCACTCACTGATTGGGCGTCAGCATTTTTCAAAAACATAGAAGTCCCAAACAATTGACTTGGTAGGTTGTAGCATGATTTCAAACTAAAGATGGCATGTTGAGCCATTTTTAACCCATGAAGTGCAGATTTTTATACAAATCCATTTGGTATAAATGTCAAATGTCAGTATTTGTATTTATCATCACAGTACAGCACAATCATTTAGTTTACAACTAAAAAACATGTTTAAGTGTGCAGTACCTCTTTGCAATGAGCAATCAAGCCAGACAATGTCTTGTGGTTCACTTTGTCACAATTCAAGTTTGAATGCACAAACAAATGCAATGCATCTATAAAAGATGACATTTTTACAGTCATGATATGGCCACACCCACAGGGCAGTAAGAATAATTACCTGAATCTCAGAGGCAGACATGTAGACAGCTAGTGTGACCAGAGACAGGACCAGTATGATGTAGGGAAACGCATAGTCTGCAACACACAAAATGTTATTCAGGGATGCAAACATCAACCTACACAATTAAGATAGTATTTGAACATAAAGAACATAAGCATTAATTACTGTAATTTGTAATAATGTGAAAACTGGACCATTCTCCAACACTGGGACCAGTTGGATGTGATTTCAGTAGCACAGGCCTACAGAGAGTCTGCTGCTAATCCTTAATACTCACACAGCAGTCCTCCTCCTACAGCCTGCAGCACAGTGAGAATGGGGAAGAAGTAGAGAGCAGCATAGATGCTCTTAAAGCGGTCAGATTTGCCCAGACCACATGCTATCTTCTTCACCAAAAGGGGACGGAGCAGCATCATCAGCACCAAGCAGAATGCATAGTAGATTAACACAATGGTGTAGCTAAGAAACACATTTAGAGAGACTTTGGTCAAAGAGTGAAAAAACACAATGAAGAATGAATTTAGAAATATCAGAACACATTGGTATGGTATTGACTACAATTCAATGCCGTTTGTCTGCACTTGCTTGGCTTTTTTCTATTTAATTTACCGTTCATTTGTATTGTTTTATTATCTTCTATGCAGTAATTTTTTATGGAGAGAGTTAAACTAATAGTGATATTTCACTTCTTTTACGCAGATGTTACTTCAGGACTTCACCAGTGTGCTAGGAATAGATTATTTTTTTGTGTTTAATTGGAGAAGCAGCGTTGCCCAGATTTTAAAAGCATCCTTTTGCTACTACTCACAGTGGGTACACAGCTTCCTGTGTGCAGTGTAATGTGTTGACATAGTCTGGACTGGGGTTGTACAGCATCGTGTACCAGTCTGACAGCATTTGGACTCGACAGGAATAGATACTGAGCATTCCAACCGGCTCTGTGACCAGTAGCGTGACCACAGCTGACAGACTGCACTCCAACATGGCCGTCACATGCTGCAGCAGTGCACTGGAACTACACAGACAACAACAGACACAAGAAGTGCAGAATTGTTATCCTTATCATTGACTCATTCTGACATATATTTCAGTGAAAGAGTAAGGGAGTAAAGGAGTGAAGAGAGAAAGGCATGGGCAATAAAATTATAGTCTACCATACCAGCTATTGACACTTATTCAATCGCAAAAACAAAACTGACGGATACCGTGTTTGATAGTTTAATTTAAATGCATCAGATTTAAACTGCCACAAAAGCACATAACGAAAGGTTCAGTTGCATGAACAAACCCCAAGAGTGATCCGTCCTTGGTTCATAAACAGCCTATTATACCGTGATAAAGCTGGCCCTTCACCCTTTGTCACCACTGCAGCACTCATGCAGGTCTCTTGAGGCGCGTTAGTCTTCAGCTGCCTAAAGCCTCTTGCTGCCTTCCTCCACTTGTGCAGACTTCCTTTAGTGGAGACTGTTGCCAGCAGGAGTTAGTGTTTGCCTTTATAAGACGGCCTTTGTGTTCAGTAAATGTCTAGAACCATGTGTCCTGCATCACTTCCATCTAAACAATGTGCTATTGCCATCCTGCTCAGAGTGCTGACAGACTGACTGCCATGGTGTTGTTGGAGGCCGATGCTGGGTGTCGGTCCAGTGTGACCCAGTCCAGCTCAGCTACTCAGAACCTTATATTTAGAACAGAGCTGCACCCTGACTGCCCTCCGTGGGTCTCTGGGTTTTACTTACTTTCTTAATATAATATGTATCAAATTAGACGATTCCTTTATTCTTTATTATTTTTATTTACAGTTGAAACCAGAAGTTTAAAAAAACAACAACAAAAAAAACATGAAACCTTTTTATTTTCACTGTCTAACATTAAATCAGGCTAAACTTTTCCTGTTTTAGGTCATTTAGGATTAAAATGATTTCTATTTGCTAAATGCCAGAATAATGAGAGACTTTTTTTTTAAAGAGAATTTGTTAGTACTTTCTTCAAAGTCAGAAGTTTATATAAGCTAAGATTACTATGCCTTCAAACTATTTAGGAAAGCCCACATGATGATGTCATGGCTTTGGAAGCTTTTGATAGGCTAATTGACAATATTTGCCTTAATTGGAGGCACACCTGTATGTGGATGTATTTTAAGGCACACCTCAAACACACTGCTTCCTTTGGTGACAACATGGAAAATCTAAAGAAATCAGCCAAGATATCAGGAAGAGATTTGTGGACCTCCACAAGTCTGGTTCATCCTTGGGTACAATTTCCAGATGCCTGAAGGTTCCACGTTCATCTGTTCAAACAATTATACACAAGTACACACACCATGGGAATGTCCAGCCATCATACTGCTCAGGAAGGAGATGGGTTCTGTGTTCCAGAGATGAAGGGTTTTGGTGAGAAATGTGCGTATCAACCCCAGAACAAAAGCAAAAGACCTTGTGAAGATGCTGCTGAAGCTGGTAAGAGAGTGTCATTATCCACAGTGAAACCAGTCCTGTACCGACATGGGCTGAAAGGCTACTCAGAGAGGAAGAAGACATTTCTCCAAAAGAAACAAAAAGACAGATTACAGTTTGTAAATGCACACAGGGACAAAAACCTTCATTTGTGGAGGTATGCCCTGTAGTCTGATGAAACTAAAACTGAGCTGTTTGGCCATAATGAGTGGCTGTGGCTCAGGTGGTCGAGCGGTTGTCCTCTAATTGCAAGGTTGGCGGTTCCACAGTCAAAGCATGCTTGGGCAAGACACCTGAAGTTGCTTCCAATGGCAGGCAGCACCTTGCATGGCAGCTCTGTTGCCACTGGTGTATGAATGTTTGAGTGAATGGGTGAATAAGAAAACATTGTAGAGCACTTTGAGTACGACTAAGGGAGAAAAGTGCTATATAAGTGCAGAATATTTACCATAATGACCATCGTTAGATTTGGAGGGAAAAGGGGGAAGCTTGCAAGCCTGAGAACACCATCCCTGTGAAGTATGGGGGTGGCAGTAGGGCTGCGCCATATCATACCTTGCACGGTAATACCGATGTAATGTTAGTGGATGATATGACATTGAAATATCAAGATAAAAATTTGAGTGAAACGCATATGCGCAGTGCCGTTGTTTTCATGCGGTTTAATGCAGATGGAGCGAAGAAGTGAGAGCCATGGCGGCGACCGAGGAGGAGGGCGAATGCAGTGCATCGACCGACACAGCAGGGCTGGACCCTAATATCCAAATATTTGGTTGTTGTGGTGGTGTCCAGATAGCAATTTTGATACCCGAATATTCGGCCACCACCCGCCGCTAATCTAAGAGGCGTGTGGAGCAAGTCAACAAACCTGACTTAGTTCCACCAGTTCTGTCAGGAGGAATCAGCCAAAATTGCAGCAAACTATTGAGAGAGCTTGTGGAAGGAAACCCAAAACGTTTAACTCAAGTCATATAGTTTAAAGGCAATGCTGCCAAATACTAAGGAAATGAACGTAAACTTCTGACTTTGAAAAAAGTAACCAAAAATTCTCTCTCTCATTATTGTGGCATTTAGGAAATAGGAATAATTTTGGTAATCCTAACGGACCTAACACAAGAAAAGTTTAGTCACATTTCATGTCAGACATTGAGAAAAAAAAGGTTATGTGTCTTTTTATACAGTGTATGTAAACTTCTGGTTTAAACTGTATGTGTAAACGTATTTGTGTGTCTTAAAATATAGGCTAAAGTGGTTAAATTCACATACCTTTATCCCCCAGGTTTTATTAAAAATAGATCATTAATAAAATGTATAACTATTGACACAGACAAACATACATTACCATTATAATTACCCAACCCCACACAGACTAACCCATATTACATTTATAGATATAAAGAATAAAATATTACAGCAAAAATAAGCACTAACAAGGCCATAAACAAAGCAAAAGAGAACCTCTACAACATCAGGAAGTGTGTGTAATCCTTCCTCACCTCTTCTTTCCAGAGTACCACTCAATAAAAAACCAGTGCAGCACGAGTGGGAGCATGGCCATGAAACCCAGATAGAGCCAGTCATAGAGCTCAGGGGACTCAGTGCAGGCTTCACACACCTTCTGGATGTTGGCACGTTCTCCTCGTGGACAAACCTGCCAGGAAAGACAGAAGGTTGTGATTTTTGAGGAAAAAAAAGTCCATTGAAAACTCTCTGCCAGACCAAAATTCAGACTTAAATTTCCCTAGACAAGGAAAGTATTTAATCAAAACACTGGTTCTGAAACTGTGGTACTCATTTAATTGGTGGTACGTGAGATCCCTCGTGTGATAAGTGGAGAAATTTCTAGAATTTTAAATAAAACTAACTAGACTCAAAATACTACAGCGAATCAAAACCCTTTGCCAAAATTTGCCAGTGAAGTGTCTGTGGACACTATAACAGTGACAGTATGACTAGATTTACATCAAATTTGGATTTAGCTGGGGAAGGATGCAGGAGGAGCCCATGCTGCCACAAGGGGCATGTGGAGATTTTCTCAGCAATCAATGTATGAAGCCATCCATCCATCTTCTCCCGCTTATCCGGAGTCGGGTCGCGGAGGCAGCAGCCTTAGCAAAGCTGCCCAGACTTCCCGATCCGTACACACCTCCCCCAGGTCTTCCGGGGGGACCCCCAGGCGTTCCCAGGCCAGCTGGGAGACATAGTCCCTCCAGCGTGTCCGGGGTCTTCCCCGAGGTCTCCTCCCGGTGGGGCGCGCCCGGAACACCTCTCCAGGGAGGCGTCCAGGAGGCATCCGGAAAAGATGCCCGAACCACCTCAACTGGCTCCTTTCGATGTATGAAGCCATCACACTTAAAATGGCATCTTATAACCAGAAACACCGTGAAGAAACTGAAACAACAAAAATGCTATTAAAGCAGTCCAAGTCCACATCAGTTGCCAGAGCACAGGAGGTTTCATATCATTCCAGCCTCCGCATAGCGGTAAGCCCGTGAAATTGGTGAATAAATGTGTCCACCATTAGTCAAAGAGATGACTCCACCATGTGTAGAGAAGGCGGCCAAACTATTAAACTTGGTGCTACTTGTAAAACGGCACTGTCAAGGAGAACAGGAGCCATGGCAAATGACATTAGGGAGACTCTTGTGGGATCACTTGACATGTCATATGTGACAGGTGCTCTTTCACGGACCGCCTGCCAGCACCACACATACATTTACTGTTTGTAGTAGTTTTTTCCTATGTATTTGTTTTTCCTTTGTATTTTCCTTTGTATCGTTTGTACACTTCACCATTGGGTTACTGCTGTTAAGCATGTCTGCTTCTGACTGAAACTAAACTCAATGTGATGCTCTGGCCAGAACTTGCTCAGAGTTGAAAAACTCTAGTCCACTAACATAGAGACTACTAGACAATATGGCGCTGCCACCTGCCAGGAAGAAGGCCTAGCTACTCGCCTCAGTATGTTACACATGTTTACCAAACTGCACAAGGGTCTGAAGGGGATTAACAACTGTGTATCACAGTGGCAGAATTCCACATTTCAGATGCTGAAGATTATGCCTCCTCTTGGTCTAACAAGATGGCGGCTCTTGTAAATGACGTGAACATTATATCACAAGTCAAGTACAGCGAAAGCCACAGCCACAGAAAAAACATAAGGATTATCGAATTGAAAGAAGGCCCAGAAGGACAAAAAAGGACATCATCCACATCACACATGCTGGCTGCACATAAATAATCATGTTTCACCTGAGGTTACATTAGGCACAGGCCCGACTCACAGACACACAGAAACTTCCATTACTCTTCATATTTTTCCCAGGACCCACGTGTTCATCATATGCTGCTATTAGAGTCATCTAGGTTGATACCAGTATTTTTGTGATTTTTATTTATTTTAAGAAATGATTATTGTCTTTCCTGTGTGTAAACTAGTTAATGTTGTAGATAAAAGTCAAAGGTTGCTAACAGCTGATATTGGCATTGGCCTTTAATAAGGGCTTTTTCATTTCATGTGGCATTTTTGCCATCCGTTAACCTTCCTTTTATCAATTATCCAGACCAATAAGTTGCATAATTAGGTTTGTTTATAAGGCAGAGTTGACACAATTTTTTTTCTCCTTTCTCTTGAATACCTCCTCTATGAACAGTTGTGTAGACCAAGATTATTTTTTGTTTTTTGGTGGTGGGGGGTGACAGAAGTTGATCTGGATCATTAAGAGTCATAATGTGCAGCAAACATGTAGCATAACGTGGCCACAGCAGATGACGGATGCGCTCCAGGAATATTATGCTGGAAAAGAAAAGCCCAGTATAATAAACCTGTACACAGAGTTAACTTCCTTGCAAAAACCACCCACTGAGAATGTCACTGAATAGTTCATCAGAGCTGAGACTGCAATCACCGCTTTGAGGATCGCAGCTGATGTGCTCAGTGACGGCCTTTTAATCTCAATGACTTTGAAAGGGCTGCCAGAGACATTTAAACCGTTTGGAATACACAGGACTCAGAGTGACGATAATATGACTTCTGCTGAGTTCAAGACAAAGCTCCAAAGTTATGAGGATGTTGAAAATTTGCGCACAACAGTGTCTGAGGACAGCGTAATGAAGGCAAGAGCGCATGTTAGCACAAAGCACAAACCAGAGGGAGCAAACAGTGGAATACAGACGTTGTGTGTTACAAATGCAGAGGTCACATAGCCAGAGCCTTTAAGTGCAAGAAGTGGTACAATCACTGCAGAACTAACACGCACCACAGTGCAAGCTGCAGACAGATGAAACGGCGGGATAACGCACGGAAAGCGTCCGAGGAGACAGGGAACAAGGAATACGCATTCCAGATAAGTGAGATGTCAAGAGGAGAGGTCTGATGGTGGATGCGGGAGCCACGTCATCACAGACATCATCAAGTTTAAGAAGTTTGACAGCAGTTTCCAGGCCAGGAAGCACTACATGGAGTTGGTTGATGATTCCAGCAGCAACGACGTGGCCAAGGGCAGAGGTGAAGCAGAGGTGTGGCTACATGACAACAGAGGATGGAGTTTCCCAAAAACACCGAGAAACGCCCTGTACATCTCCACATATCCCCAGGATATCATCTCTGTGAAAGCTGCTGCCTCCAGCGGAGCTACTGTGATTTTCAGCAAGAGGAATAATGTTCTGCTCCATAAAGACGGTACCAAATTTCCCATACACATACACAACAAACTATACTATGTGCACACATCAGAAAATTACTGTGATGACCACTGTAAGAAAAGTCTTGATTTGCAGAGGTAGCATGAAATTTTGGGACATTGCATTTATGCAGATCTAATGAAGCTAAGAAATGTTGTTGATGGGATGGATATTAAGGAAGAGGGAAGTAAACATACCCCCTGTCGTGAAGTTTGCACTCAAGGAAAGTTTGTCCAAACTAGGAAGAGGGCCAGATATAAGGGCAAAGGTACCGCTTGACATGGTCTCACAGATCCATTGTCTCGAGATGGGCATAGGTGTGCACTGTCCTTCACAGATGACTATTCTAGTGCAGTATTTGTATATTTTTTGAAAATTAAAAGTGATACAGTACAAGCCACAGAAAGGTTCGCAGCTGATATGTCTTCTTATGGCAAAATAAAACGCATAAGATCTGATAATGGAACAGCGTACACAAGTAGAGAGTACCAGGTATTATTGAGCTGGAGTGGTATTAGGCATGAGACTTCAGTCCCATATTCTCCAGCAGCTGAGAGACAATGGAGAACTCTGTTTGATATGGCCAGGTGGATGCTTATAGAGAGTGGTCCAGACAGCTGCAGTGGTGAGGTGCTTTAACAATCACACGAAACCAACCCCTTTCCACATGTTAGCAGGCAGAAAACCCAATATTGCCAGGATGCAGAAGTTTGGACAAGTGTGGTTATGCTTACAAGCATCATAAAAGGAAGTTGGACTCTAGATGTGAGCGAAGCATTTTTGTTGAATATGACAAAGCTATTCCAGCCTTTATGGTTTACTGTCCCAGCAACAGAAAAATACAAAAACACAGACTTGTAGAGTTTGTATCTAGAATGAATAAAGAAATGCTGGATGCTGATGATGACGATCTTGTAGTCCAAAGTAAAAGGCAATCAGTAAAAACCCTACCTGTTGGCTCACAAATGGCAAAAAAACAAGAAGTGGTCACAGAAAATAATACAGTAGAGTGTGACTCAGGCACAGTGAAACTAGAAAAAGAAGAGAAAGCTGACAATGAAGAAAAACCTAAAGAGAGATGCTATCCTGACAGAGAGAGGAAAAAAAAAGACAGATTATTATGGTGACTGTACTTGTTGTTTTGAAGATGACATGACCAATATTGATTACTGTTGCAGACTTATGTGTAATGTACCTCATACAAAGAAACTGTAACTTGAGTAAATGCTGATGAATGGGTTAATGCTATGGATGAGGAAATGCAATCATTGCAGGATAATGCAATGTTTACCCTGACCATGCTTCCTGAGGGCAAACATATAGTGGGGAGAAAATGTGTCTATGCAATGAAAAAGAACAATGATAGATCAAATACAAGGCAAGATACGTTGCCAAAGGGTATAGTCAAAAGAGAGGTGTGAACTATGATGAGACTTTCTCTCCTACAGCTGGCCTGACCAGCATCAGGGTATTTGCACAGGAAGCAGCAAATGGAACAAGACGTTGCATGACTATTTGTGGAAGATACAGTTAGTACAAAACCCAGCTGATCATTGTGTTTATCCACTGAACAAAAATATAAACACCCCATGTCAAATATAAGAGTTTTATGAACATTTGGGTTACGCAATATATAGAGAAACTCAAAATATATTTTCAGTAATTACTGATCTTCACATCGGCATTGATAACATCGTGGTATGGCCATTTGTAGCGGATTGACAGTCCTTTGAACATGACAGGGGTCAGGTTGAGGAATTTGATTTTTCAGTATCTTGTGTGTCCGCCAGCTGCATCTCTCAGAGCAACACATCTTCTTCACATGGAGTTGATCAGATTGTCTATGGTGGCCTGTGGAATGTTATTCCATTCCTCCTGGAGTGCCACACGGAGCTGACCCACATCGCCTGGAAGGGGAACACGGGCGAATATGCAGGCCAGTCCAGAACTTCAGTGTCCTCTGTTTGA